TGTAAAACGGTATTTTACAGTCTGAGTATACAGTCGCACCGGTGGGGATGCCCTTAGAGCTTACTTGCATATCCTGTATACAGTCGCACCGGTGGGGATGCCCTTAGCGCTTACTTGCATATCCTGTCGCTGAGCCCTTTCATCACAGTCTCACTCCATACACGTTGCAAGCCATAAACAAACCGTAAAACTGCATGCTAGTATAAATACACACCACTTTATCTGCATCCACATATAACGTTATCGCTAACTCCAATCCATGCCCATTACATTAATGTAGATGCTACTACATGATGTGTAGTAGCATTCTAGATTAATGTACTGGGCATCGTTGTGTACGCAACCTGCAAGCGCTTTTACTTGCACACCAACTATCTGTAGCACTGCGGGAGGAAGCGTATGTAGTTGAGGGCAAAATGCACAATGAATTAACTGAGGATCTACTAAGATCTCCTTAATCCTCATCACTATGAAATCTTCTTAGTCTACTTCACTTTTCTACACTAATATGCACTTTTGTATACAATGGATGCGGGTTCGGTTGAGACATTGGGGAACTTCACTAGGCTAGGGTTTCTAAGCCATACTTGCCCTTGAGACACATTCCCAGGCAAGCATTAGCTAGGGTGCGTCATGAGCCAGGTACTTAGGAGCTGTGTGCGGGCAAGGTGGTGGCAAGGCGTTACCCCCATCTGCGACATCGATACATTTCCCCCCTGACGTCTTGCTACACCTTGAAACGCCTTGACTCCAAGTCTTGGACGAGTTGCTTGAAGTGCACAACATGCTGGATGTCCTTCATCAGTTCCCACGTGGCTTCGCTTTCGGGCTCTCCATGCCACTTGACCAAGTATTCCAACTTGCAATTGAACTGTCGCTTCTTGAGCAGTTTCTCGACAATGTACATTTCTTCGCCAGTGGATTCGTCTAGAATAACGGGAGTAGCTTTCGGCATAGGCCGGGAGGCAAACTTGGCGTCGTTGGGGTGATAGTGCTTAAGTCGATCAACGTTAAACACGTCATGCACACGTGACATCGAGCGAGGCAACCTAAGGCGTATGGCGTTGTCATTAATGGCTTGGACAATCTCAAAGCGACCGATGAATCGTGGAACCAACTTGGGACGCTCGGTCTTATCTAGCATCTGGGCATGCTTTAAAGGCAGGTTGCGAGTCGCTAGCAACACTTGGTCGCCTTCCTTGAAGGTCACATTCGAGCGGCGCTTGTCATAATACGCCTTCGGACGTTGTTGTGCCTTCGTCAAATTCTCGTGAGACTTCCTTTCGATGTTCCGCTAATTCTTGGCAAAGTCATTTTTGGGCAAGGAGCTGCTCACGGCAGGGTTGCGCAACTTGCGGTCTGTGTCGACTTCGAACGGCGTTAAGCCGGTTGATGTTTGGACTAACCCTTGGTGGGCATACTCGATCGTTGGCAAATGGTCCACCCAGTTTTGTCCTAGATACGACACTTGGCATCTGAGCGCATCTTCAAGAGTTCG